ACGCACTCAGTCGATACTTTGGTTCCGAATGTTCAGTATACGCTTGGTCTCGAACTTGATCGTTATGGTCGCTTCTGGTTCCTCGGCTCAACGTGTTTTTGTCCTACGTCTGGTCCTCATCCCTACGAACGCAATATTCAGATTCTGGATATAAATCACTCTGGTGTGGTACGCCAACTCGAGCAACAAATACAGCACTCTTATCCTGGTACCGTTCTACGTAAATGACCTTCGTTGGCAACTCGACGATCAATGATCGATTTCCTGTTCCGCCAATTTTTTGGTCCTACAATCGATCGTCAGCCGATTAGTCCCACGATTTAAACCGCTACTTTTCGAAGGCGTAAACCCTTTCTAGCGGAGGAATCCGGTAGTGACTTACTTTTATCACGAGAACGCGATTGGTTTAATGAAAACAACTATTATTATTATAACCAATTGTACCTGTGCTTGTTTTCCGCGGATTGTGACCTCGTACGTTCGTACTCTTGTCCGCTCATTCCACTTGTACTTCTTTTGGCACGATATTGATATTCGTTTGATACCACCAGATCGCCAACGAAATAAATCTGGTTACGTTCAGTCTTCGCCTTCTGATTTGTTTGGCACGCGTTTCCTTGTAGTGGTGTTCGAAGTCAATCGCGACTCGACTCCACGCTATAACTTCCTCAGAGTTCTTTGTGTGAAAAATCGACAATTTTAATCGACTCAGTTCCAGCATCATTGACCAATCCACGAAACTTTACTTCCCCAAATTTGACTTTATTTTGCATAAACAAGTCTCCGCCTTTATAATCAACCACTATCAGATAAACTCGCGTTGGGTTTTCGTCATTCTCATCGAAAAGTCGAGGACGCAGATGAACAGCATAATCTGGATTGGTCAGTGACTTTATGAAGAAATCGCATGAAATATCGCAATTCAACAGCTCTGCGCTTTTATTACTGCTAAGACTACATTGATGTCAGTGGAGAGCTCGAGGACCATGTAATCAGTCAAGGTTTACCACTCACCAGTAAAAGCAATCAATTATGTGGAAGAACGTGTGTTCTACTAGCAATATGTCTCAGAATTCATCACTCATTGTCACTATGCACAAATTTATCATGATAAATTCTGTATGATCCTTTCTGCTATTCTCATTCCCGGTAATGTGATATTATGAAATCTAATTTGGTCTATTTGTTTGTTTTCGTAAGATCCATTTTGAATATTTTGTGTGTGAAAATCCTCCCATGTATGCACTTGCGCTTCGTTCCTAATGATTCTTTTAGTTGTACGTTTTCTTAATCTATTTGATTCCGTTTGAGTTGGTGATATTTGTATTTTATTAGAGTTTTTATTTTTCTAAAGCCTTCACTAAGTTTCCATGTTTCTTTCTGAACTGCATTTATATTGTTTTACTTGATACTTAGTCTTGGCGGGAGCCATATTGGTTTGTTCCTCCTTTTGAATGTGTTGCTTTTATTGACTAAAATTTTGCATTTTTTAAATTCTGAACTGAAGCACTCTTCCAGAATTGGAAACACTTTGTTATAAAGCAACCAAATATTATCATTTGAACGAATCTATGAGTGGTCTATCCAGCCAGGATAGAATAACATTTATTTGTTGTGATTGGTAGTTTTCTTGCATCCTTATTTATTATAATTTAGATTCGATCAACTGAACAATTATTGGTTGAATAGCTGGGTGGTCATATTTGTTTAGGTAACAATGTACATTTAAATTTATAATGAATTTCAGAACCGTCATTTTACCAAATCACTTTGTTTTGGTTTCAACCGGGAAGGGGCGCGTATCTAACCCACCTAGACAGCTATTCTTCAGTCCAAAACTTAGTTTTGATCTAACAGTTTTCTCAATCAGTTTTTCTTGTTTTGTATCCGCTCTCTTTACTGGATTTTAAATTTCACACTACACTCAACCGGTAACTTGTCGTGAAATCTAGTGATTCTAGAAACTCCAAGAGACTTGAGCAAACTATTGTCGTCACCCATGATGTGCAGTGTGACAAACGCAATGGTTGACTTCATGAGAAGTGCATAAATCTTACAGCGATTGCTTAATACAGGCTCAGAAAGTTAGATCGCTGGCAGACATGTGAAAAAAACATGCATTTTGGCAATTTGCTGAGCAATTTCATCGTGCTCAAACACTTGTTCTACTATCAAATCTTATTGCATTATTGAGTTCATTTATGTTTAGTTGTTTTTATTCACTTGGCAATATGCTGCCGTCTATTCTTATTCTGTTTTTGGAAACACGCTTATCAAATTATTCACATGTTGCACTTTTTGTCTTTCTTCCCTATATTTTCCTTTTCCTTCATTAAAGTCAGCTCAGTACTCTTCTCAAACCCACAGAATCTGCCTTATTACTGCGAATATCATGCTAAGGTTATTGAAATTTGTGTATAACCTCACTTCTGTGGAGGCTCAAAATGTTTTCTTCACGGCACTCATGCACCAATAAGCTGTTCGTGAAAAATAATAATGATTCTTATGCATATGGATAGGAGGTATGATGCAAGGATAGAGCAAAAATACGAATTTAAAATGACAGTCGAAAGAAAAAAAGTGGAAAAGATAGGACCGCACTCCCGGAAAACCCTGTATTGGTGAATTGCCTGTTCAATCAACTAAGGCTAATTTAGACAACAATAACGAGGATGCTCACACGTTTCAAATCAAAAGCATCCGACAAGTCTTTGTTTCGCAAAGTCATAAAAACTGGAATGACAGGCAGAACGGCATTGTATCTATGATCCTGCTTGGTATCACATCAGGTGTACACTTGTTAGCTTACTAATCTTGGTGATTCTGTATAGCGCACAGTGAGTGTCCGACGTCTCAAGATGTCTAGTTGGATTTATTTAAAGAAGGCCAGATGCTGATACACGATTACGACTATCGTATGCTCGAGGCATTATTGAGCTCTATTGGTCAAGGATTCACAAGTATCCTGATTTCAGGGTCTTTGATCTTCTTAAAGTCAACTTCCCTGTCCATAATTATGGTGAAGGAGACAACTCTGTTGAGTTTCAGTCCACTGACCTCATTAAACATCCGGGACTATTCTTTGTTATACCCTAAGGAAGAATAAATTGTGGGTAACATTTGAGAACTGATTATGTACTGATAATGTACATATACACTCTTATCGTATAACTGTGACGTAACTAAATTGTGTATATTTATATTCCCTTCATAATAAGTTTTTATTTGACCTATGCCTAAAATATATGATTCGTGTTGCGGAGGCTGATATTTGCATTTCGGACTCAACAGGCAGGGTTAGGCAAAATAGGAACAGTAAGGATAATAAAATTGCTCATACCTGTCAATACATCATTATGATGGCACAATGTTATAATTGGTTACGTCGCACGACCTCAATAAACATTTGAGATTATTCAAAACTGTGGAGTTATGAACCCAGTGACGCCATCACAGCTACCATGAATCGTCATAAAGAACGCCCAGTTTACAAACTCTTTATACTGGCTCCTCTGTGAAAGCGCTTAATCAGTGAAAGCCTTCTGTTTTATTTGGGACATCGAACTGAAACGTACTGTTTCATATGTTTGTACGCATCAGCTTTATGGGTCAGTCTATACAAGATGCACCCTCAACTCGACATGGATGGTATCCGTAATCCCCTACTACCACTCCTGAATGACAAACTTGGTGATCGTGGTGGACGAGTGAACAACCTTCTTCCATCGTAACAGGAAGTTTGAAGTGATTTACCTATGCTTGTGAAGACCTTTTGTTAAGGTCGATCATATATGTCTTATCAACAAGCTAAAACTGTTAGGGATCAAGAAGTCATTAATGGACGGTCTTACCTCAAATCTGAATAATCTGCATTTAGGGTCAGGGTGAACCTCACCCTTTTTCGGGCTACAGAATGTCTTGGTGCGGTTTCTCTGCGATCAGTGCTAGAACCCGTTCACTTTACACACCAAAAGAACGACCTGTTTCGCCAAGTGTCATTTGAGCCATCACTCTTCGTTGACCATATCAAACTTTGGAGGGGAGTATGCAACCAAGATGATAAACTGGCACTTCTGGAGGATCTTACTCGACTTCACAGTTGTGCGGATAACAATCAACTTTCTTTCAAAACTCCAAAGTGTTAAATAGTTCATTTGAGACATGTTGCACACTACATGTACAACGTGGGTAATTTTCATCTAGAGATGTCTGAAGTTGAAGGAGACTTAAGAATCTTGGTACCCTATAATCTAAAGTTTTGCGCCAGCTGTGACAAAAGTGTTTTCGAGCAAATATCGCACTGGTAATGTCAGAGAGTACGTTTGTCCAGTTTGATAAAAGAATGTTTCAGCTAGTGTTTAAGTTTTATTCAGCTCCGTTTAGAATGTGTAAATATGATATATTCTCCCTCACTCCAAAGATATAAAAAACACTGAAATGTATGCGAGGGTTAGCCACGTAATCACTTTGAGGACGCAACTTGTAACTTTGTGTATAGTGCTTCGGATCTTCGGTTTACAGGCGTCCTAGAGGTGACCTAACGACTTATATCATCCTAAACACTCCTGACCACTCCTTCAAATACTTATCTATGCTCATTCCTAACACATGCCTCAAGGAAAATGCCTAGAAATGGGGGGAGTGGCATAGTAATTTGGATCATGGGAACATTTTATACTCTTTAAATATAGTCAAAATCTGGAATACGTCAGGTGCTGAGGTGATCCATGGAGTTTCGCGCCAGTCATTCAAGAGGAAAATTGACATATTATCAAGAACCGAGGATGTTATTTCATCAAAATTTACTGACACTCATCTTTTATTTGATAAATATACCTTGATTTTTACCTGGTGTTGGTGAGTTCACTAAGACTTGTGTCTAGACAACTTTTAAGAAACGCTCCGGAGGTTAAGGAAAGCACTATAGCACTAGAAACCAATCGTTTTACAATAAAGTATTATAAAAATAGATATCTTAGTTATTGAAGACTTGACATGTTTGAAGCCACAAGAGCGCGGTTTGTAGTTAGAGGTCATGTTGCGGTTTGTGAAGCGCTGTATGTCTTCCGATGCAACATATAAAGGGGCCTACAAAGTATGTGAGTAATTCACCGAGAATTATTTAACTTTGTAGGCTAGTGGTGCTTTTTGTGACCGCCCACAGATAATGAGGTTTGGTATACTACGATCTCTCGCTGTGGGAATTCCTTTTATATTTATCGGGTCAGTGATTAGCAGGACAGGTGCTGAACTCCTGGAAGAGTATGATATTTTCACACCACAGGATGATTAATTACTAGCATGCAAAGATTGCATGTGCTAGCACACACAGCTGCGACAGTTTTGCGTGCTCCATTTGTTTCGTGGTACTTTATAATACCTTTTACTGTAAATGATGACCAGTATTATTACTGATATTTATTTTCTGTAGCTTCAGCAAGATGCAATCTTTAAACGTAGCTGTCAATTGAGAGGCCTCTGTATTCTCTGTTATAAGTTGTGGACGTTGTTGTACGATTTTGTAGCGATTGGTTGTTGATGCTGAGTGACATGACTCATAGTCGTTCATACTAATGCAGATACACTCACTCTTTATCTTTTTTTTTACAACCACAGGCCCGAATATCCCTACGTACCTACTCTTTATACTACTATTAATGCTTTTACTAGTTGTGTTATGAGATCTGTCTTCGTATTTTCAATAGGAACAGTTCAGCTTGCCGATTTGGTGTAGCAAGCTGAACTGTCCCACATATGTACTAGATTCTACGTTACAGATGAATTACTGTAATGACTTCAGTGGTGTATGTTATGTAATTTATTCGAAGTAACAATCTAATCCATTTGGTCGCTACACTGTCTTGACACATATTCGTTATTTCATATTTAGTACTACAACCACCTAAAACTTGTTATTATCCAGGACGCTGCAGTTTGTTCTAGTTTCCAGAAATTAGATTTTTAACCGATATATTTTGTTTCTAATGTCTAGTATACTTACCTTGCCAGGAATAAATTCATTAATAAAGTATTTGCCGAACAGTTCTTGTTTTGCTTGATGATTAGTATTATAGTTTTCTGGGTCAAATTGATTTATTCACGTTTTCGAACTAGGTACCTTCAAATCAGTTGCATTTAGATACCAGACGGAGTTCCTTATCAACTTACTAAGCTTCGCTTCTTTCCTCCAGTTAACATAAGCTTTTCGGATATCAATACCACGGATAAACTTGGCAGTTTCAAATAAGTAGAGCATTGGGTAGATATGTTTTGTTGTATCCCAACGAGTAGAAACATTGTACTCCTGACAATTCGTGACTTAATGTAAGCCACTTCTCCAAAGTAAATAAATAGTCGACATTAACACAACTTTTAAGCTTGTGTTAATTTAATTTTTAAATAATTGATAATCGCTAAACAGTGCTTCTGACGTACAAAAAACAGAAATAAAACGTCAGTAATATTACAAATACGATCAGTATTCTAGGAAATATATGTATTGCACAAATGCAATAATCACATTAGGCCTAACGGTTTTCAATTGGGAGTACTTCCGATTGTTACTTATTTTTTACCGTACAATTCTGATAAGTCTTCAGTATACTTTTAACCTAATCAGAAATATAGTTTCCTCGAGTTACCAGTAATCTGCTTCAAAGTAATATTCATTTACGAGTTTTAAATTTACTTATTGGGTTCGGAATATTCAATAATTAAAACGTCTGCTTGATCTGCGATGATGGCTTACATGTTGCTTTATCAGATTCTGAAGTAGTTAATTGTCGGCGGATTTTGTTAGTTCCTGTAAACTGCCTTCATTTATTGATGAACTGACATTTCTCTTCAGAACAGTTTGAATGAGGATTACAATAAAATTACTAGAAGTTAGTAACACTCGACATTCTTATCCTACCTGTTCAGATTTTTCTCACTGAAATGAACTCTATTGTCAGTTTTTCTTGTCGGCTAAATGTCATCCTCATTGATTTTTAAATAAACATGACAAAATCATTACCCATGCGAATTACTTCAGACCTGGTATTACAAAAATCTGTAGTGATGTGAGGATGACAGGAGTTAAAAGTTACCATAACTTGAATAGATAATCTACTATATCCCATACTACATAAAGTGTGGATCCCTTATCTAACGTGAAAATGATTTTTTCATTTTTTGATCCTAGGTACACGGAATAAACACCATAAGGTAGATCAAAGTATTGAGGAAATAATTTAATCTGAATTCTGGATGTGGAAGGGTACGAGTCTATCAGTAAGACGACCATCAACTCAACTTTCAGTCAACGATTCAAATCAGTAGATACAGCAAACTCATTCACGACCACAACTCAAAAATAAATTGACACTCGTTTTGAGCAGTTGTGTTCAAAATGTACTGGGATAGAGAGAAACGAAAATTGGTTTACGTACGTTGATAGTTGTGCAACGTAAGTTGCCAACAAAAACGTTACTATAGGATTCTGATGTATACTACAACAGCTTGACAGAAGTGTTTTGACAAGATAATTTGTCAGGACTAACTAATGTCTATTGGTAAACTATTGATATTCTGGTGGCACTGAGCAACTACCGTATTCTAGTTTGAGTCTCTACAGAAGCCTATTTTGAGTCAAACTAACAGCCCGATTTCGCAGGTAGTATTGTGCTATTAAACCGCTAACTCGGAGTATGCTCTTCTATATTGTCCATTCCTAATCAACTTGCAACCGAATGTGATAATCATCGGTGGTTGACTATTTCATTTTATTCTTTTTAGCCACATTGTTTATCACGTGCTGCATATCTTAACTCTTTGTAGAAAAAATATGTAAAATTTATGTCTTCATACAAATTATTTCGTAAGCTTCCTTATTTCAAATTAGGTCTGTTATTCATATCAATAAATTATCATATGCGAATGTTAATCACTAGTAAGTGAATAATAACAAATATGTTTTTGCGTGAAAACATAAAGAAATACTTTATGTTGCTAATTGACATGTTTTACTATATGTAGTTTATTTATTTAAACACATGAACATTGGTACAACGCCACATAAATCATTCGATTTGTGCGAGAGCTAGGATACTGACCGGGTACCCAAACCGAAGCAGATGGTTTTCTTAGGAGGCCACACCCCGACTCTTTGACCTAAAAGTCTAACCCACAAGACTGTAGAGCAACGTCAGGAGATGCAGTCTTATGGTACCCGGTACCCAACGGTTCGTTCATACGCAATTTGTCCCCACAGGATACCGGAGCCCATGTGCACCACGGGGTTAGAATCAGGGTTTTCCAACTCACCTAGGTGAACTCACCGCGTCCACCAACCCGGTTAATGCACCAGACATTCGCTTTTCGTCCTCTCAATTTCGTAAACAACAGTAATTCCACGAGAAGGCAGTGAGTAGGATCTCTGTGGTAGTGGTTGTATGCACGTGGACATGTGAGAGCATTTCGAGAGAGAGAGTTGACTCCTCACTCTCGGCCGTACCAGGGCATTTGATTTAGTTTGGTACTTCCTATATACGAGTCAAACCTTCTACTTGAGTGCGAAAATAGTACGGGGATAGGCGACAACAAATTATTGTTCTGAAGTCAGCTTTCATAAGTCGATGGTTCATGGAAAAGTAAATAATATCGCAAAGCGTAATTAATTGGTCTGTTAAAGTCCTCTATGCTACTTTTCAAATCAATTAAAAGCGACAACGATCGTTCCTTACGGGTATAGATTATCCTGCTTTTCGAATTCTTGGGGGATTTTCGAAAGTCCCTGCATTATTCTTCGCTTAGGATTAGAGTTTTCATCAAAGAATGGCATCAACTACACACCAAACATGATTTATAGCTGTATGAATAAGTGGATCTTAAGCAAAATTTAAGGGACGCTATTTGATTAGTTCATCTATGAAACATGGTGCCATTGGATTAAGATTTGTATCAGGATTTAGGGATCTGACTATTTGGACGTTATGAAGTCTTTAGAAAGGAGCTTGAGTGTGGTACATTTATCATTATCGTTTTTACTTTAGGTGGTGAAAAGTAGTTTTTCGTCATAATTTTAAACGTCTTGAGCAGTGTACAAAGGTATTTCTACAGTTTATTACACATAATATTTGGATTTCGCGCAAAAACCTTAAGACCACACCCTTGATTCTCATTGACTTGTCCCTTATGCTAGACTTTTATCCGTTTCCTCAAAATATTTAGCTGAATCTTAACCAACAACGTGTGCACGTTAGCACCATCACCAGTCATTCGGCCTGCGTGATTGAACTAGCATATTATTTATTTTGAAGCAAATTGAGATGGTAAGCCAATCAAAAGTAGTCAAATGAGGCGGCCAATCGATGGCAATCAGAAGTGACCCGAAGAACAAGTGCATATCACTGACTAAGAAATTGATTTATCTCTTGGGCCGTAGAGTTCTCTCTATATATAGACGAGTACTTGTGCAGTTTATTCGGTGGCCGAATATACCTCGCTCAAGTAGTCAGTCGGGAGGAGGGCTGGCGCGTTGCACGTATCACTAGTATCAGACTTCGGACACCACTCATCACAACACAAAATGACTTGGAAAACATTAAATCTAATCATGAAAACCTATTGCGAATTAATTGTTTCTTCGATAAATAAGTTTGGTAAAGGTCAGGATTAACGTTTTGCAATAATTTCATTGACATGTAAAAGTTTATGATAAAGGGTTATATCATTAACAGAGTTACAAAAAATTTCTGGTATAATCTAAAAGTCACGTATTGGTGTAAGAAGATAAGCAAGATATCATAGCCTTGTACTAGAATTTCGAATAGCACAAATCTACTGTTTGTGATTGCTACGAACTACTAAGTAACTTCTGTTAAAAGGACAAAAGTCTCAAATCAATAATCTTTCAAAATGAATGACTTAGTATGGCTTTGTCCAAGTAACAGTGCTAGGACTGCCTTCAGGAATTATAGAGGTTATATCACTAAATCATCAATTACGTCAATAGACAAAGACAAGTTCTCGAAAAAACCCACTCACAAGTATACAAACAGACAAAATTTGACGAAAATTTTGAGTGATCCGGACATCTATGATCATAGGGTTCTGCCTTCCAAAATTAAACAAGAAAATCGGTTGTTTCCACTTCATGATAAACTATTTATATCAAGTAACTCTCGAGTGATTTAACAGCCAACTCCTAAATGGCCTAGAAAACGGAATCATTTCACCAGATGTTAATTCTCCCTTACCTAGTACTCCTGTCGAAAAGATAATTTACTTTTTGTGTGACCATATTGAATGTAGTAATTTAGAAGCCGCTTTATTCAGATGTCGACTTAAATAAGTAGGATAATATAAGAATCAATGTTTCTGTATGCGTAGTTCTATGTTATTATAATAGTTGATATTCATTCAGTGAATGAATGTTAATCGTCTGTTTATTAAAATGTCATTAAGTCACGACTCAAGCACAACCCACCGCAGCATCTCAATCAAGTCACCTAGACCGGACTAGGCTGTGGCCAGATTAAAAGTCCCCAAATGCTCTGGTACGACCGAGAGTGGGGAGAGTCCGCTCTCCCTCTCGAAATGCTCTCACATGGCCATGCGTATATAACCTCTGCCAGGGAAGTCTTACTCACTGCCTTCTCGTGACGGGGGTGTTGTCCACGAAAATGAGAAGATGAAAAGCGAATGTCCGGCGTTTTAACCGGATCCCAAAACAAATCAGTGGTGCACATGGGCTCCGGTATCCTGCGGGAACAAATGGCGTATGAACCAATCGGTGTTCAACACCTACCATGGGACTGCATCTCCACACGTTGCTCCACTGCCTTGTGGGTCAGACCTTCAGGTCGAAGGCTCGGGGAGTGGCCCCCTAAGAAAATCACCTGCTTCGGTTTAGGCACTCGGGCAGTATTACAGCCCTCACACATATCAAATAAGATTTGTGTGGCGCATATGTATTTGGTGCCTCCTTGTACTAATATCTATGTATAAAATAAATAAAAATAAACCTTTTTATTAAAAAGTGAAAATAGCACAAATTGGAAATGTTTTTTAAAATATCGATGTAAAATTTGAAAATTATCAAATACATAGTAATGATATTAAAAATGTTCAGTCGGTAAAAAGGTCACATATAATATAAACAGGATAGATATAAATATAACGTTTAACTAATGGTTCACATGTTATTAGTTCATCTCTTTCTTACTAAATTCAACATCTGAATATGATTGGATTAAGCATTTATTGTAGATTTTGGTTTGATTGTTAGTTATTATGCATTTTTTGATAATTCTGATTACTATCCAGAAGTTCGGATAAGTTTGTTAGACAAAATGTTGGAATTATTTAAATTTTAAACGCTGAAATATCTTCTGTATACTACTTTGCACCCAACTTCTGTTAAAATATTCGTCCGAACGTTTAATTAATAGTCGTATAAATTGTACACGTTGCATACAGAATATTATTTGTTATTGCTAATTTTATATTGGGAATTCATGGAGGATGGATATCGTTGTAGATCACCAACGTAGATGATCTATGTTAAGTGGTTGGGGGTCTATTCAAGTTAGACGGGAATGGTGTCGAAATCACACCTCGCAGTCAGCACCTTATGTGGATTACCCCTTCATTGTATCAAGGTACTATGGCTACTTTGAAGACCGTACAACACAAAGAACACTATTATGAAAATATATTAGTGAGACCACCACCGCATGGGCTAGTTCATGGTATACGATTAACTGATGCGCGTTGGTTGTCCTTAACTTTGACAGGGATTGATGATCTGTTCGATATTTAGTGACGCAACTGCCAGATGATCTGTCTATGGCTCAGTGACACTTTACTGACCGTACATCACAAAAACGGACAAAATTTCAAATCGAACAGATTATGCAAAATGGAGATTATCCGGTTTTCATAGTATTTACCATCTTTACTATCTCTTATGACAACAAATATAACTTAAATTCAGTTATTATAAGATATTCTACAACACAATTGAAAATGATCGCGAACTTTCATTGTATAACTGACCTTACCTATTCAACAAGAACATACATCACTTGGGATATGACAGTATAAAATTATTCATAGATCAAAAATAAAATTTCCAAGCTTTACTGTCTTATTTCCATTATTCTGATGTTGAAACTATCCATATTAGGAGGTCAGAGTAGACTGGAATTCATACAAGTACCCAGATTTACTTCATTTAAAATAAGATGACAAATTATCATTGTTACTATGATTACTGATACTTACATTTTTCGTAAATTACAAAGTTAGAATGGTAGGTTTACAATCTATTAACAATGATCAATTCATTACAATAGAAATAAATCCTAGAATTATTCATGTTGTTCTGTTACAAATAAGACGTATCACCTTTGTGGAATCGAAAAAAAACGATCTACTAACTATTTGATACAAATAGTATGACAAAAAATTAGGCGCTGAGTATAAAGAAGTCATTAGATTTGAAAGAATTTCAAAGATTAAAATTTAACTAATTCCAACGTTTCATTTAGCAAACCTGTCTGACCTTCTCCAAGATAATTATCGACCTACTACTAACTAGTCACATTACAATAATTTTCTGCTCAATACAAATAATCTTATCAGTTTAGGGGTTGTGGAGATTGTTAAGTCTTTTTTGATTGAGATCATAAACCGATTGATGTTAGACCATCATTGAAAACCTGGAAGCACTGGATGGCCGGTTCATGATCTCACTAAAATTAAAAAAATTTTATTCATGAACTCAAATAAACATTAGTTAACTATTCAAATGATAACAGTTAGTGTATAGTGAATTAACCGTTTCTTACTACTATTCTAAGTAACCTAAGTGAAACAATATGATCAATAGTTGAGTAAAACTCTAATTTACTCAGTGACAAAATATTATTTTTTTTTATAATGACTGTAATTCACCTTATACGTTTTCAATAATAAGCAACCTCTGACCAGAAATGTAGACATGGA